AATATCCTAGTCACCATCCCAGCCAGATTAGGAGACGGCAGCTCTGTCAGGAATTACTGTCTGGTCACTCCAATTCTAGCAGATCATGCTTGGGAAAATAACTCCTCAGGACCAACAAGAACTATTCAAGAGGATTCTCGCTGGAGGGTTATTTTAGAAGACCATATGGTCCATTGACAGTATGGAATGTTTTTCATCCGTTATATATGATCTTTAAGTGGTTGGAAGGAGGTACACAAACTGCCAACGGCTTCTCTATAGGTGTCCAGATTAAGTGTTTTTGTGTTTTCTTTACAATTTTATGTACTTTCAAATTTCCTAATATAAGTAGACTTTGATAAGACTGTTCATATACTATTTTAAATTATCTTTATAAGGATTCTGTAGAAACACATTTGCTGTATCATGAAAATAATATTTAAAAGGATAGCCCCTGTGGCCACAAGTAAAATGTTCGTGTGGAAAGTAATGTGCAAAAATGAGTAACCCCATGGTGAATGACCAAAATAAAAATTATTTTGTGAAGAACTCTTAAAAGGATGGCAATAGTCTCTCCTCTACGTTGTAAACAGCACCATGACTAGACCAGCCACATCTCTGTGTTTCCAGTTTTTATAACCCGGACGTTGCTATGCCCTTTGAGTAGTGCCTCACTTGCAGATTACAGATAAGTCACCAGCAGCAGCAGTAATGACACTACTGAGCCTTTTCAGTGAGTGGACCGGCAAGCCTCCTTTGAAGAAAAACATAATAGATTCAGCCCCTTTAGTTCACACTTGGGTCTTCAAGTCCAGATAAAATGCTGACATTGACATAAAATGGATGGCAGGCTTGAAATGAATCATGTGCCCAAAAAGTTAGTAACCAGCAAAGAACATTCCAGAGGAAAGACAGGAAAAACTCCCTATGGATTTTGACAGGGCTCTGACCTTCGCCAGGTTACTTTTTCCTTGGTCTCAGGCTCCCTTGGAAAACAAGCTATATCTCATTTTTAGGGGAAAACCTTTGAGGAGAACACATTTGGAAAACACAAATGATCGTTAAACTGTCAATACTCAAAGACAAAGCATCCAGTACAAGGCAGACAAAGCTGCACAGTGACTTTCTGTTAACAATGGAGGCCATGACAGTACTTGACCAGCTTTCTTCCTTGGCTCTGTGCCATTCTTTGCCCCATCCCCTGGTTAGTCACAGCATCAATGGACACACTTGGCACTTGACCTTCAGGTCCCTCATTGACCCTCCCTGGGCCATTTTCAATAGTGGTCATTTGGTTCAAGACATGTCCACATTTTAGCTAAATATTCTTGTGCTTTAAACCCGTAACTACTATGTGTGACTTTACTGGCTCATTCCTGCTTATCAAGTCTGCAAGTGTCACTTCCTCCAGCTGGTCTTCCTCAACCATCTTTACTAGGTTGGGTCAAGGTTATGGGAGCTATGCGCTCCTCCCCAATAGTGTCTGGTACTTACCTTATTCTAATTCTTATTCATTCATTCATTCATTCATTCGAGTGCCTGCCATGTACCCGGTACTGTTCTAGCAGCGGGACTACGCGGGAATAAGAAAGTCCCTCCCTGCTCTCCTGAAGCTTAGGTTCTAGTGTGGAGACAATAGAAAATACATAAATCTGTTTTAATATCTGGCAATAAATGCTGAGAAAAACAAGGCATGATAAGGGGACAGACAGAGGGACTGTGACCACCCTGTTTCAGATGGGGTGACTGGAGAAGGCTTCTCCAAGGAGGCAACATTTGAACAGAGGCTTAGATGAAGTGAAGGGGTGAGCCTCACCAAGACGCGAGGAGTGTTCCAGGTGGAGGAGAAAGCGTATCACAAGGTCCCTGTGTGACTGTCTCCCTCAGGGGGTCTTCCTCACTGGACTCACTGAGGGGTTGGTGGCACCTGGCATGTAGCAGGGGAGCTGACTCTTGCCCACCTGTACACAGCTTCTGCGTTTGTTATTCCTTTTATCTGGAATGTCCTCTCCTTTCTGCCTATGCAACTGCCTCCCTTTTTTTCAGCATTACCCCCAGTTGTCTGCTCCATTAAGCCTGGTTTGCCTGAGCCCCTGGGCCCCTGGCCACAGCACACTCGATTGCACACTACAGCCACGGCCCCTGCGGGGACCACAGGAGTCTGCAGGGCTGAAACCTTGGGAGTGGACGCAGTGAGGTCACTCTCGGGCGGCTCTTCAGGGGATGAGCGCTCCAACTTTGAGACCAGAACCAGCCCATGAATATGGACAAAAGGCAACTGCATGTGATAAAACGATGTGATCGTACTTTCGGATTCAGCTCCTTCCTCCTCCAGTCCCCAGGGGACAGAGAGAGGCGATTTATCCATGCCAACTGCCCCCTCCAGCTCCTGCAGACATAAGACCCTGTGGCGTCCACTTTACAGGATTCCTAATTGTGGCAGTGGAGCTTATCTGCCCTGTATGTCTAACAGCAGCTGGCACGCTCTAGCTCCTGTGACAACAGCCTTGATTATACATGTTTTGTAAATAACATTTCTGCTTCCTTTTTACTGCTAAACAGCCCTAGAATACTTGCCTCTTGCCCTGTCCGGGGGACGGCCAACCACAGCTACTTCTGTCTCTATGGCAGGCAGCAAATATTGACAGAGCTCAAACAGTCAACAGCAGATTCACCAAGATTTCATATCTCATTTTTTATTACCAATCAAAAATAAATTCCATATATTGTTTAGCAAATATTATCATTGTTTTGTGACAAAAGACACAAGAGTCATAACAACAAAACTCCCCGAGAGTCAAACTCATAACAATGCCAAAATAAATCACAAAAATATACAAATTAAAATCTTATGCAAAATAAATATGAGTTATTTGCTACGGTGGCTGTGACCTGCCTACCCATTTGGAGGCCATTTGCAAAGGTCTCCCTTCACAGGAAGACGCGCAGGGGGCCAGCTTCAGGGTATGGCTCAGCCCAGGAACCAGAGGTTGGAATAGGAAATGAAAAATTGCACTGGGAGGAAGAAGTCATCGAACCAGTAATATTTGGAAATAATTATGACCCTCTGCAAGAAGTGATTATAAAAGGGGGAGGGGAGGGAGGGGAGGAGGGACCATCCGTCCATAGTAACCATGTGTGCAAAGAGGTAGCTGTGGAAGTGTGTGTACCTGCTCCCTTTACTTCACACACACTCTCGTGGTTCAGGCCAAGGCAGTCTGCTCCACCTGGCACTCAGGTCTCTCAGGAACACAGCTTTGCAAGCTCTGTGGGCTCAGAAAAGAAGGCAAGCTGCTCCTGTAGAAAACTAAGGGGTTTCCCCCAACAGGGAACAAAGATCTGGTGTCTTTTTTCCTTATGGCTGAGAACCCACGGTGTTGCCACATTCTCTCCAGACTTTTAGGAATAAATTCAGTGACTGAGGAAGACTTTAAACTGGCTGGGGGCAGGCATACTTGGTGCAAGGCATTTCCTGGACCCAAGAGTTAGGACTCTCTGGGCACCTGAAGAGCGAGCACTTGGGATGACAAAACGCACTGGTTGAGGAGTGAATCAATCACACTCAGGCGGAAGGCCTGCAGTCTCCCTTGCCTGATCTTGGGCCCCAGCAACTGTTCCACCCAACAAAAGGGCCAACATGGACCTTGGTCCCGCAGCCTCCCCAGTAGTGGGAAGCCTGGAGCTCTGCAGCAGGGGCTGGTTCAGCCCCAGGGAAAGGATTTCAGCGCTGAGGCAGGATCTCACGTGGGTGGCGCTCTTAGGGTCCAGTACCACTAGCTTCAGCAAAGGCCAGGATGACATCTTGCACTAGGATTACAGACACGGGGGAAAGAGGCTGCCAGCTCTTGCCTTCTCGGGGGGAACCTCCTTTCCTGCGTTCTGTAAGTGTGTGAACAAGGTCAGGTAAGCCTTAGCCACAGAGGAAAGGGCATGAAGAATCTGCTTAGGTTGGCTTCCTACATGTCCTCTTGTCCTCAATCCCCAAGAGGCATTAGGGTTTGGGATCAGAAGTGGGGAGTCTGGAAAGAAGGGCTTCCTGGGTCAGTGACTGAGACTTGACTTTCATTGTGGGGCAGGAGGGGGATGGTACTAACTGCCAACAACGCGGATGCCCATGACCAGCATCCCTCCTGGAACCGAAAGGAGTATCCTAGACAATTCACCTCTAACGTAGATGCTCTCTCCACCTAGGGGGAAACCTTTGGTAAAAGTGAGGGCAGGGCCTGGGGAGCAGGGGTAAGCAATCTTAAAGGTGTGAGCCCCTGCCTAACACTTTGAGTCAGCCCCAATACAAGGGGAGAGTTGTCCAAAGTGGCAGATACAAAGCAAACTAACAGGGCGGGGGGGGGGGGGCCGGCGGGCAGTGAGAGTCCTCAGCCTAGCCCCAACTCACCAGGAGAGCCCATCGGCAGAGTTCTAGGAAATTCCTGGATCCAGCGATTGATAGGAGTAGGTGTGCTCCTCTCTGCAGCTGGGAGTATCATGTCCCTGATCACAACTACCCAGAATCCCTTGGCCTCAGCGACGTCAGACAGCCTCAATGCACGTGTCCAGGCAGTTGTTCTCAGCACGAGTTGGTTCTTCGCTTCCTGGGAAGAACTGTCTTCCTCCCAAGAGAAAACCTTTCTCCAGTGGGTCTCTGGGATCCCATCTCTGGAGGAGGAGCAGGAGGAAGAGTGGGCTCCCTGAGTCAGGGACACAAGCCAGAAGGTCATGGCTGGGAGCAGATTATGGCTATGGCTTCCTGGGGTGAGAAACCCTACCCCTTTTAAAGTTTTTGTGGAAAAAAAATTTAAATAAAGTTCCTTAACCCTGTCTTCCCTTCCCCAAATGATATTTAAAAAGAGGAGCAATGAGCTTAGTTCAGAAATTCTCTCAGTAAAAAACAGCCTTGCTCACAGTAGCTGGCCCCCTGCCCTACCAGTCCAGGGCCGGGCAGCTGCCACCTGAGAGCTGTTCAGAGGTCCTGTCTGAGGCCGGGTCCCCCACAGGCTGGAGGCCATCTGGCTGCTCAGTTAGACAGGCTATCTGCACCCCTTCTGGCCTAAGAGGCTCCCTATCTTCACGTGGGCCCACTGGGGAGGCCCCCGCAGGGCTGGCGGGGGACCCCGGGCCCTCCTGTCAGATGGCGCTCTCGTGCGAGGCTTTGTGCAGCAAGGAGTTACGATCGTTGAGAAGAGTAGTGGTCTCATCCACCACAGGCAGCTCAGGCTTCTCTGCCAAGTTCTCCGTGCAGATGGTGCACCCATCCATGGGAAACTGAGGGCAGTTCTCCATCCGTGAAGCCAGCAGCCCATTCTGGTACTGTTGCCGGGTGATCTGCAGGGGGAAGGGATGTGGTTCACAGAGAGTAGGGGCTGGGAGGCAAACCCCACCAAAGACCAGGGGAAACAGGACCCGCCGGGACTGAGGCTGCACGTCCAGAAGAGAGGACATGACCAGGTGGTATCCAGAAGCCTGGAGAAAGAGTGAAGAGCAAGAGTAAGAAGGACACGCATCTTAGGTCTGGGCCCTCTGTGCTGTATGTGGTGGATGAAAGAAAGAAGTTGCTGACTCCTGCGGCAGAATGATCCAAATGCCCAAGATGAGGAAGACGGCACTGCCCAGACAGAGGGCTGTGGGAAGCACTCACCTTAATGTACTGGAGGTCCATGAGCGCCCGGACACTGAAATCAGAGATGTACTGGCCCAGGATGGAGCTGCCAAACTGGTTGCTGCTGCCTGCCAGGGGAGCCGTGCCCGACACATCCGCGCGGTCCGGATAACTGAGGGAGGCTGAGCGACTAAGGGTGGTGGAGTGGTTTGGGGAGCGGTCTGGGGGGAGAGAGAGAGGCTGTCAGGCCAGGAGCCGCCCTGGTGCCCTTGTCCCATGGATGCCCAGGGAGTGGTGCCCCCACCAGGAACGGGAACAGTTCTCAAGGACAAACAGAAGCTCTAACTGCAAAAGGTCTGACCTCATCAAAGCAAACAAGTTAGTGTATTCAGGAGTGTTGTGCAATAAGTATTAAAAAGTCTACTGAAACAACGCAGAAAACAAAAAACCAAAGACACAGAAGGTTTATGGCTACAAAACCCCTCATTTCCCTGACAGCTGACCAGTCAAGGGCAAGGATCACCCTAGCACGGCAGACAAGCTGCTATCCTTGTCTCAGTGACAGCTTATGCCAAGAGACATAAACTGCATACTTTTAAATTATATTTAAAGGAAGAATATATACCTTGCACTCTCTCACAATGCATACACACACCACCTCAACATGACACCTTGTTTACATCTTAAAACGCTCCTAAGAGGTCAAAGGCATGTTCTGCCCATGACCTGTTCCTTGTGGAACAGTCCCCCCCTCATGTGTCTCATGAGCCCCTGGCCCATCTGGCAGGGGGAGAGGGGGCAGCAGGTTCCTCCCCTAGGAATCTAGAGCCCCCAGAGCTCCAGGCTGCCCACTGCGGCATATTCTCAGGCCTGGTCCAAGTCCCCCTCCCATGAGGCAAAGCTGAGGTGGTGGTGGTGGCAGCGCCTCTTCCCGCCACTAGGGGCAGCACAGGCCTCCATTCAGTTGATCATAACCAGGAAAGGGGAATGACTCAACCTCAGAGGAAGGAACCAGCTCCTTATTTTGAAAAAGGAACCGCACATATTATTGTACATCGTTAGCTCTTATTTTTGAGAACACTTAGAAAACAATGAAATGCACAAAGAAGTTAATTGTGAAGGCATGCTGGCTGGTTTTAAACAAACAGGAAGTGGACTAAGCTGATTTGCTTAAACTTTAAGTTACTAACTACTCAGTTAGCTATTCTAACAAATAGCCCAGTGAAGAGAGCAAACAGTGAATCCTTGGGGCCAGCCCCGTGGCCGAGTGGTTAAGTTCACGCGCTCCGCTTCGGCGGCCCAGGGTTTCACCGGTTCCAATCCTGGGCAGAGACAGGGCACCACTCATCAGGCCATGCTGAGGTGGCGTCCCATACAGCACAACCAGAAGGGCCTACAACTAGAATATACAGCTATGCAGTGGGGGGCTTTGGGAAGAAAAAAAAAAAGACGACTGGCAACAGTTGTTAGCTCAGGTGCCAATCCTTGAAAATAAAAAAAAAAGAACAAAACAAAAAACAGTGAATCCAGGTGACTGAATGACCAGTACAGCTTTAACTACGGGAGACTGGGGGGAATAATACTCTCTCTCTGAACCTCATTGATAAAACTAGGAGTATACAGTCTGATATTCTATGACTGGGTATTAGAGGATCATGTGCACGTAACACTTATTCTAACTTAACACTTCTGACTAAGTTCCAGAAAAAAACAGAAATACTAGGGCTTTACTTAATACTTCACATCAATTATTTGGATGATGGAATGCTTTTAATTAATGCTTCTTAACACTCCAGAAACAGGAAGTGAATTTAAAACCAATATAAATTAGTGACATGACCTATTAAAAATAGAGGTCCTAGAAAGAAATACACCAGGGGCCAGCCCAACGGCTGAGCGGTTAAGTTCGCACGCTCTGCTTCTGTGGCCCAGGGTTTCACCAGTTCAGATCCTGGGCACAGACCCAGCACCGCTCATCAAGCCATGCTGAGGCGGCGTCCCACATAGCAGAAGTAGAAGGACCTGCAACTAGAATATACAACTACGTACTGGGGGGCTTTGGGGAGAAGGAAAAAAAAAAAGAAATACACCAAACTATGCAGTGTTTGTTTCTGAATAATGAAACTATGATGCTTCTTAATTTTCTTCTATTTTTTAGAGTAGACTTTTTTTCTATTTTCCCAATTTGCTAAATAAACTATGTTACTTTTATGATTAAAACAAAACAATAAGTATAACAAAAAAATTGGAGTTTTTGACTTGGTAATTCTATTTCTGAAAGAATATTCTATGGACAAAATCTTAAACACAGATAAAGTTTTTTCATAAAGAGGTTTCCATCATGGTGTTATTTAGAATACAGATGCGTGAACATGCGTAAGGGAGGGAGTAACAAATGAAGGCACACCTGCTTGGTGGAACACAGCGTGGCTCTAACTAGACAGCTTATGGGAAAGCGCCTCTGTTCCCACATTAGGGAAAAACATCAGGATTTAAACCATGTATGCATCAACTTGGCCATACATGAAACAAGAGCAAGTACAAAAGAGCGGAGAGGGAGGCGGAGGTCTTGGCCAATGAAAGCCAACATGGACCACTCTGTTCTCACCAGCCAGCCCCCTGCTCAAAGGCCATTAACAGCTCCTACTTCCTATCACAGCCAAAAGCTGTTGTGTTTGAAAGGGACAAGTGACTTCTAAGTCATCTTTTTATATTTTTTTTAAGAGGATCAATTGAAAAGTGTGCTTTGGTACAGTTAAGAAGGAAAACATACCCAGCTGCACGAAACAATCGAGGGAGGTGATAGGTTTTTAGGACTGTCTGGGCCTCAGGAGACTTTTTAAGTTATGCACTGAGCCTGGAGCTCAAAGACACTGGTAATGAAGGCTCTTAAGGCTAGAAATCTGATGACAAGACCAGCACTCTCCACTACTCTCTGCTGCCTGGGTATCTGTGGGATGGGAACCCCTCGAACTGAATGAATCTGGCCAACACAGCTCCCACCAATCCTGGGACAGGGCTCAGGCGTGTGACATACCAAAGGCCAGAAACAGCATATGGCATTTGGCCTTTTCTAAATATTCTCTGATTGTAATGGCACATTTTAGTCGTAATAGAGAAAAAACAGAAATAGTAATTGAGCTCTAACTAAACACTTTATATCAATTCTCTCACAGCTCCCAACAATGCTAAGACGTGAGCACATGCATTGTTCCCATTCACATGAGGAAACCAAGACTTGGAGAGCATCTGTCAGCTCCCCAGAATCATTTAGCGAGTAACTGTGGGGACAGCATTCCAAAAGGGCACTTCTAACTGCCCAGCTGCTGCCTCCCCTTGGCAGGCAGACACCAGCAGCAACAGAAGGAAAAGCAAAGCCTGTGAAGAAAAGTGGGGAGTGTTTTAGAGAAAGCTGATGAGATGACAAGTCCTCCTGCTGAGGTTTCTGTGTGGCCCTGATCGGGGTGCTCAACAGCTGGTCTGCTTAGCCTGGCGGAAGCCACCCTCTGTCCCCGGCATATCATTAGCTTGTGTGTGTGTGCACACGTGTGTGTAGGTGTGTGTCTCAAGGACTGACAGACCTTTGGGGAAGCCTTCCAGGACCAAGGCAAGGCCACCCAAGACTGGACCCTAGGCCAAGCAGAGCCGGTGCAAATCAGGCTGGCCCACAAGTGGGAACAGGTGAAATGCCCCCAGGCATATGGGGAGCCCCAGTGCCTGCTGGGAGAGGTTAATGCAGCTGTGGTGTGCGGGCTCAGGCAACAGGTGGCAGTGCAAACTTCTCCAGCCGTGCCATGTTACCTGAGAGCCAGGAGAGCAGGGAGTTCCGCTTGCCAGGCGGACACCCGACCTGGGTGGAAGGCACTGGAGCAAAAGAGGAAAAGGTCAGTGATGGCAGGGTCAGAAGGCAGGACATGGAGCCACAGGAACAGGGTGGAGAAGCAGACCTGCTGGGGGCCAGGCTCCCTCAGGCAGAGAAGAGAGGGTGCTCAGGGCCAACCAACAAGCCCTGCTCAGAGAAGGGCAGGAGCAGACCCAGAGCTCACACAGTGATTCTGGAGCTCCCCAGAAGTCATGTCCCCTCCCTTTCAGCCACTACAAGCGGGAACTAAGGGCCATCAAGTCAAGGGACACAGCCCAGGATTCTGAGCCAGGCCTCTGAGGCATCACTGCAGAGGAAGGCGGCCTGGGGGAAGTGTCCCAGGACTGTGTGCCTTTCTGAACATGATTTCCCCAAGCTGTGCCCAAGGCGTGCTCTCGGGAAGGGCAGAGAAGTCCTCTCCAGGCCTGAATTATCCAGACAGGGTCAGCCTGCTCCCAAACCCGGCTCTGGAGCCTTGTCTCCCCATGCCCTCCCCGAGGAACCTGCAAAGTCCTGGCTCATGCTGGTGGAGGGGCAGAGAGGACCTGCCAGTGGATGAGCTGAGCGGCGTCAATACGCATAGATGCCCTGGCCCCCACCACGGGGTCCTCTTTGTCAAAGGACAGCAGCCGTCACAACATAGCAGCTGCCTGGAGCTGCAGCAACCCCCACTGTGTGGTCCACCCCCAGCACCAAAGAGGACTTTCACTC